CTTTGGGTAGATGCTAAGTGGTGGGATTCAGAATCAAGTGGTAGATCTAATTTTAGTCTTTGGAAAATCTCCATACTGATCTTAGTAAAGGTTGTACTAATTTACATTCTCATGAACAGTGTGCAAGTGTTCTTTTTTCATCATATCTCCATGATCTATTGTTTTTGACTTTTTAAAAATGGCCATTCTGACAGAAGATGGTGTCTCATTGTAGTTTTAATTTGCATTTCTCTAATGATTAGTGATGTTGAGCATTTTTTCAAGGTTTGTTGGCCATTTGTATATCTACTTTTTAAAAATGCCTGTTTATATCATTTGCTCACTTTTTAATGAGGTATTTTGGGTTTTTTTCTTAAGTTGCTTGAGTTCATTGTGTATTCTGGGTAGTATACTTTGTCAGACACATAGGTTTCAAATATTTTCTCCCATTCCATAGGTTGCCTATTTACTCTTTGATCATTTCTATAACTGTGCAGAAAGCTTTTAGTTTAAGTCCCATTTGTCTTTTTTTATTGCATTTGCTTTGGGGGTCTAAGTCATAAATTCTTTGCCTCGGTCCAGAAGAGTTTTTCCTAGGTTTTCTCCTAGGGTTTTTAGGGTTTCAGATCCTACATTTAAGTAGTCTTTAATCCTGCTTGAGCTAATTTTTGTATATGGTGAGAGATAGGAATCTAATCACATTGTTCTGTATATGACTATCCAGTTTTTCCAGTACCATTTACTGAAATTCTGCATCCTTTTCCCTGTATATGCTTTGTTGAAGATTAGTTGGTTATAGGTATATGGTTTTATTTCTGGGTTCTCTATTCTGTTCCATTGCTCCACATGCCTCCTTTCATACCAATACCATGCTGCTTAGGGTACTACAGCTTTGTGGTATAATTTGAAGTTAGATAATGTGATGCCTCCAGGTTTGATGTGCTGATGGATTTAGTTTGCTAGTATTTTGTTGAGGATTTTTGCAACTATGTTCACCAGAGATATTCATCTGTAGCTTTCTTTTTCTGTTGCATTCTATCCTGGCTTTGGTATCAGGGTGATATTGGCTTCACAGAATGAACGAAGAAAGATTCTCTTCTTCTCAATCTTTTGCAACGATTTCAGTACGATTGGCACCAGCTCATCTTTGTACATCAGGTAGAATTTGGCTGTGAATCTATCTAGTCCTGACCTGTTTTTTGTTAGAAGATTTTTTTTTAAATTACAGATTCAATTTCACTAGTCATTATTGGTCTATTGAGGAGATCTTCTTCCTGGTTCAATCTTGGAAGGTTATATTTTTCAGGAATTCATCCATTTCCTCTAGGTTTTCCAGTTTCTGAATGTGTAGTTGCTTATAATAGTCTCTGATGATTTTTGTATTTTTGTGGTATCAGTTGTGATGTCTCCTTTTTCATTTCTGATTGTGTTTACTTGGATGTTTTCTCTTCTTTTCTTGGTTAGTTTAGCCAATGGTTTATCAATTTTGTTTTATCTTTTTGAAGAGCCATCTTTTCATTTTGTTGATAATTTATATATATTTTTTGGTCTCTATTTCATTTAGTTCTGCTCTGATTTTTGTTATTTCTCTTCTTGTGCTAACTTTGAGTTTTGTTTGTTTTTTTTTCTCTAGTTCCTTGAGATGCAATGTTAGGTTATTACTTTGTGATCTTTCTACTTTCATGATGTAGATATTTAATGCTATAAACTTCCCTCTTAGTGTGGCTTTTTCTGCATCCCACAAGTTTTAGTGTGTTGTGTTTTCATTTTTATTCATTTCAAAAACATTTATAATTTCTTCGTTGACCCAGGGATCACTCGCGAGCATGCTGTTTAATTTCCACATATATGTATAATTTCTGAATTGTCCTAGGTTTGGGCTCCCTTGTCCCTTCTCAGCTGGATGGCAGCTGCAGTTGCATCAGCCTGAATATAGCCTGAGGGTGGGATGCTGCCTGGCTTTAATCTCCCTACATGCCCCCTTGGTCCTATGATAAGAGAGTGTGGGGCCCCTCATTGGCAAACATCATGAGGCAAAATGCTGAGGGGAGTGTTATCCACTCATGTCTCAGTCTCACAGCAGCCCACAGTAGACTGATGAGGATTGTCATAGGTGTGTGTAGGAAAGACTGGGTTCCCTTGCCCCTTCTCAGTTGGGCAGGGCTGCATCAATTTGGATAACATCATAATTATTAAATCTTTTAATCCATGACAATTATATTTCTCCATTTATTTAAATCTTTTAAAATTTATTTTGGTATTGTTTTGTCAGTTTTTTTCTATAGATATCTTGGATAATCTTTCATTAGCTATATTCCAGTGTTTTTATTGGTATTTGTTCTCTTTAAATGATATTTTTCAAATTTTTCAACTGCAAATTATATTTTTAAGTGTCCTTTTTAAATTCTTTCATAAGTTCTTGCTAGTAAACAGAAATAGGAATTCTTTCTTTCTGTCTAAATCAACTTTATTGAGCTATAATTTACATATTAGGTAAAAGGCTTATTATGTAAGTACATTACCATTTTAAGTGACAGATCAAATAATTTTGACAAATGCATGTATCCATGTAATCTTCACTACAGTTAAAATGTGCAACATCTAGATTGCTCCCAAAATGTACCCTTGTGCAGCTGCTATGCAATGATCTTTCTACCTTACACAAATACATCCTACCACTGGCGCTAGCAAATATTGATTTTCTTTCGATAACTATAGAGTAATGTTGTCTATTCTTGAATTTCATAAGAATAGAATCATACAGTACGTACTCCTTTGTGTTTGGCTTGTTTTGATCAATATAAAAGTTTTGAGAATCATCTAAGATCATTCATGTATCAGGAATTTATTCTATTTTATTGCTGTATAGTATTCCATTTTTGTGTGTGTTTGTGTGTATGTGTATAAATATTTATATTTGGTTTGTTTCAATATTTGAGCTATTATGAAAATAAGCTGCTATGACAATTGCATATGAGTTTTTCTATGGTTATATTTTTTTATTTGTACAAATTTATGGGGTACACCTGCCAATTTGTTACATGCAGAGATTGAATAGTAGCAAAGTCAGGGCTTTTAGAATATCCATCATCTGGAAACATACATTTTTGTGTGATTCAGCATACTTTCTTTCTTGTCAAATAAGCTACGGACTCCAAGTTCCAGGAGGTGGCGGAACCACTAAAACTAAAATGAAAAATCTGACCTTCCCAAGTTTAACATTTCATCTGACTAGGAACATCCACAATGGATCTTTTAAAAGAAATAAGCATTAATTGTATTAAACTATCGCTATTTGGGGGTTTTGTGTTATAACAGTAAATTCAGTATGTTAGTTTTTTTAAAATGGCCAGGAATTCTTTGCTAATCCTTTCAGAAGAGGGATTGATATTTCCTTCCCTAAAATCTGGACACGCTTTGTGACTCACTTGAAGGCAAAAGAATGTGAGAGAAGTGACATTGTGTTACTTTTTGAGGCAAGGTCAGAAAAGGACATGCAGTTTTTACCTTGTGCATTGCAACACTCCCTTTGGATCTCTGAGCCTAAGCTAAGTTCTACTACATTGCTGCCATACTGAAGAAGCCCAGACCACATGGAGAGTTGTAAATAAAAGCTCTGCTAGCATGCCTAGTCTATCCATTTGAGTTACCAGAGAAAAGCTGATCCACTATGCTCTCCTGACCATACAATTTTTGAACATAATAAAATTTTTGTTTCAAGCTACCATATTTTGGAGTAATTTATTACATCGCAATGGAATGGGTTACCCAATCCTCAACCTAATAAATAGTCTCAATTTGCTTTTTAATCTGTGCAATTGAACTACTTTGATAAAACTCAGAGTTATTTTGAATTATTATTTCTGGCTTAAAGACTTTGCCATTGCTGTGTTCCCTACCCAGAAAACTCATCTTTCTCTCTAAATCAGTGCTTTCAAACGTTTTAGAGTATTACACAATAAGAAATACATTTTACAAACAAGACCTAGTGCACACATTCATGCACATATGTAATTAAGAGCTCCATAAAACAATACTTAACTTTACTAATGCTAAATTTATTTAAACACACTATCTCTCTATATTATTCCAATTTTTAAAAAGTGTAAAGAGATTTCCTTTCTTACAATGGGTGCTACACAATCCTTTTTCCAGTTTAACAACACTGCTCTAAACCATAATCATTCTTCAGTGATTACCAAAGTTCAACCAATATACCTCACTGACCCCTCTATTCTGAGCTCTTTGAAACTCCTATAATTTATTGGTCATATTGCATTTTTCTCAGTAGTAAGAATATTGCCTTTTACATACTACCTATACATTACTTGATATCATAAGCACTTCTAGGGCAAGGTTCTATTCTTTATCTCCCACTTGGTAAATTTCACAGTACTCAATAAATACATTGCTCAACATTTGGTCATTGTTCCTCCAAATCGTACAACTGTTAACGCGCACTACCTCAGTTTGGTTTTCTCTGGGGTGAGGCATGGATAAGTGCTTTAATAACGTATCCACATATTATGCTTAATTTCAAACTGGAAAACTGTACAAAGTTGTCGCAACTCTCTATGCATGCTTTCACACAAACCAAATCATCAAGATACAAGATAAAAAACGTTTTTTATAACAGCTTTTGTTACTATACAGAGCACAAAATACTTATTTTGATATAGCAACAACGAAAAAAAAAAAAAAAAACAATAGGACCGAGTTCTCCTGACTAAAATATCTTTGGGATTGGTAAAATGCAAAGTGTTCTGTAGGATCAGCGTTTCCTGACAACTCACTGCAATTACGCCTTAAGAGTACATTTCGAGAACCGCGTCCCAGTTACTTGGTACCGCCTACACTCTGGAAAGAACTGTAGAAGGGATGGGGGTGTAAAGCCGGGCCTCAACACCCCAGCCCTGCTCTCCGCCCAAGTCTCTGAGGAGAAGCGCGCCACCGCCCGCCGAGCGAGCGGCTGAGGCGGGACTTCCAGTCTAAACCCGCCCCGCCGTCACACCGCCCATTACCTTTGCCTCCCAGCCTGCGGTGCGCCTGGCCCCAGAAAATACCCTAGCAACCGCCTGGCTCCTCCCTCTGGTGTCTCGGGAAAAGCGCTCCGTCTGGTCCGTTCGTGATCACCGCCCGGCGAGCGCCTGAGGCTCGGCGGAGCTGAAGACGCGTGGAGCTGTGCGGAAACTCGCGAGTTGTGCAGGTCTGAGTCCCACTCCGATCCCGGTGCCGGTGTCCGACCCTCTTGGGAGACCAGTGATCTGGCTCGAGCCGTGCGGCCGCGGGAAGTGAACGTTCCTTGTCAGGACCCTGGCACAGTGCCGAGGTCTCGCCTATTAGAGGGGATCTCGGTCCTTGTCGGGACACTTGTTTTTAGGATCTTGCGTGCCCTTTGGGAAATAGGCTTACAAATGTTTCCTCAAAAGAAAATTTTTTTTCCCTCACAGTGGTTTTCGGTGCTTTCTGCCCCAAGGGAAGTTTGTCCTTTAAGAAGTCAGTTCCCTAGGAACTCCATTATTTATTTTTTAGTGTTTGGAGTGGTTTGTGGGGGATTGGTAATCACGGAAGGAGAATCCTAGTGAAATCATAGGATTACGTATGCCGTGTAGTGCATTTAAAATATTAAGGTTATTGTTACATAATAAGCAAAGGAGATTATATTTTATGTCTAAATTATTTCTTGGGAATGTAGGACAAATAAGGAAGTGTATTAACACTTTCAGGGGTCAGTTCCACGAAGTTAGATGATAAAAATGGATACTTGATTTAATTAATATCCGCAACATTTAAGGACTGCTTCTAACCAGTGTACCATGAAGAACTAAGGCAAAGAAGTCTGCCAACCATGTGGTGGGTGTTGAGGGAGGGGCCTTTAGTCCTGTATTTAAAAAGTTGGTGCCTCGGATTTTAAGAAATAAATGTTCGATGTGTACATGCTATGTGACCAGGTTCTTAAAAATACTCCAGAAAGAAAATTTGTGGTGGGTTTTATGTAGTACTAAATTGTTCCACAATACAGGATATGGGAGTTTGATACATAATGTACCATTGGAAGGTGAGTCAACTTACAATAAGGGAAGAGGTAGGATTTCATTATTTTTTTTGCCAATTTTTTTTTCTTTTTTTTGGAGGGAGGTGCCAGGCTGCCACTTACCGGGCTGCAGATAGTCCATAAAGGTATTTTGTCAGGTACTTCAGTAGCAAAATGCTTCCTGGATGTGTTTTTCAGAATGGCTGTGATTTAGTTAAGTATTTGTTGAATTCCTCCTGTGGCATAAGAATCAGGAATAGGTAAGTTCAGGAAAGAATTCTGCTCTTACAGAGTTGAATGCTAGGAGGGATAGCTTCATTAAAAGATACCTCCAAATTAAGTACATTTTTCCATGTCAAATATGTGGAAGCCATAAGTAAGTGCTCAAATGTAAAGACATGTAAGAGATTGCCATAGCCCATTTATGAGTCCATAACAAATTGAATTAGAGTCTTGACTTTAAGACTGAAAATAGAGCGTTATGTGCAAGGTAGAATTGATGCAACTGGGTGAGTATATTTAGTTTTGGGGAAAAATTGAATATAAGGAAGAGTAAAAAATTGATTTGTTTTCAGCCTACGTTGCAGAATGATAGCTGCTCCTTCAAGGGGCTAAAATTATTTGTTCCTTACGAATAGTCTCTTTGTGTTTTCTAAGTCTTTTTAACCCTCACATGACTCGAGTTGTATTTCCCTGCATATATTTGATATTAAGAAGTATGTTGTAAACGTTTTTGAATAACCACATTTGCAAAAACTAATATGTACGCATTTGAGGCAGGCTGTTGGCTAGGTCAAGATAGATGCTCTGTTCTTGTGGTTTCAGAGATCTTTCCTGGGAGCTACTCATGAGTTATAACTCCTGGCCTCTTTTATGTGGCCACCTCAGACATAGGTGACAGTGTGAATGTGAGGCAGGGGGAATAGCCATAAACATTTCCCTTTCACTGTCTTACAGGTATTTGTGTTTGATTTTGTAGAGGAAGGTCATTTATATAAGGCTTTTTAAATATCTGTTTAGTTATGTGGATGGAAGGTCAGTGAAATATAGGGTAATATTTCTAAGGCATCTTGGGAGGAATGCACTTTGAGGGCCCTAAAATAACTACAAAAACTCATCAGTAGTTTTACATTAAATGTTAGGCAATGGTATGAACTTTGGTGGCTTTCACAGTAACTGCATTCTTCAGCCCCACTATGCCTGGGCCCTTTGGTGGCACTTGTAAACCCACTAAATAGCTACTGGAATATCCAAGGAAATGAAATCAGGCTGAAATAGTCTAGTCCAATTTCTTTTTTAGGATGAGTCTCATGATCTGAATAACTCAGGACTATTACAGCCTAAAAATGTTTCTCTGTAAGGACCTCATGCAACACCAGAACAAAGCCAAACCAAGATAGTTTAGGTGAAACTTAATTAGCTTTCTAAGTGCAGCAATGGAACATCTATTGGCTTGTGACACTTTATTGGCCAACTGAGTGTTGCTGTGATTTCTGGGGACACATAGAATCTCTTTCCAAAATTTTAAAGCTGTGTCTGTCCTTAGAATGAATGTTTTATCTTAGGATTTCTTTGCCTGGGTCATAGATGTACTCCAGGGGAACTGCAATCCACCTGAAATTGTGTGCACATACTGTGTCTGTATATGCATTTTCTAGGAATAAGCTCCAAGATTTTCATGCAATTGCTGAAAGGGTCTGAGACTCAAGAAAAGGTGGCATCTTGCTATCTTGTACTCTCTTAGTTGTTGAGGGCATGTTCACCAACATAGAAGCCATTTTTAGGCAGATGATTTGGAGTGGCAGGCCGAAGTAGATAATGCTTTCTATTTGTGAGGCAGGAAGAAGGTATTGTTCTTAAATACCACTTTCTCTGGGCAACCCAAATGTAAATCTGTACCTAATCAGTACACACAATAATATTGACTGTATTTTGGTGTTCCCCTTGGGTAAATTTGGCAAGTACATTTTCTGTTTCCTTCAGTAATCACCATCTTTTCTTTTCTAGCTCCTTATTTGGGTCTTAAGCTCACTGGGATTTACAATCTTAAAATAAGCTCTTGATGAGTAATTAAATTAATGTCACTAACTTGTTGGTAGCCAAATTATGTTGTATTTTATGTTTCTCTGGACTTTTGTTCACATTTTATTTGGGAAACCACAGAATGTTTCTTGTTGCAGTCACTGTGTTTCTCCTGTCAGTGTTTGTACTTACTCTAAGTGCCTGCAGCTTCATAAACACCACAATGCCATAAGCCTTGTAATGAAGAGAATCATTTTACACCTAGGGAATGCATATCAAGTCAATAGAGTTTTAATCTCTTTTCTCCCTTGAAAGATATATTGCTTACAGGGTAAGCAAACAACAATTTTGGCAGCCATCAACCTTTGAAAAAAAATATTAAGGGGGAAAGTTATTTTACTATGTTATCTCTAGTACTAAAGAATCTGGTATATGTTTTTTGAAAAGCAGTATAAATTTATCTCTAGTACTAAAGAATCTGGTATATGTTTTTTGAAAAGCAGTATAAATTCTTAGAGTGGACGTTAATGTTACTCTGTATAATTTTAAAATAATATATTTCACCTTATAAGATATTTTGCAAATTATAATTGGTAGTAAGTGCCTCTCATTTTTTAGTGGATATTTATTTTTATATAGTGTGTGTTTTAAGTTGGAGAGGAATATATCTTTTAGAACATATCCAACATATCCAAATTTTGCTGATCTTACTGGAACCTTCCATTTTCATTAGAGTTCAGCATGAGATTTGATGTCATGTAATGTCAATTCAAAGTCAGAGCCTACAGAGTTGAATATATTCCTGGCAAATATAACATGAAACCATTGAATTTCTAATATTTATAAAACAAGATTGCCATCTCTGGAACAAAAAGGTTCTTCAAAAATAGACTGTCAGTACCTAAACTTTACATTTGAAATAATTTTTCTAAGATAGTGCCTTTCTATTTATGTGAAGAGAATGGCCCCAAAGGGTAACCAATTTGTTCTTTTGAGTTTATTGCTTTCTAATTTTATATTTTAAACATGCCAATTTAGTAGTTTTAAAATTTATTAATATTGTTAAAGTACTAAAAACAGCACACAATGTGAAATTGAGTAATTTCTTTGTAGGGATAGTAAAATGTTTCCTGTTTTATTTTATCCCTCCCCACACTTGTTGTTTTTTTTTTATAGTGTCCTATCATATATGTTTTAAAATAAATATTAAACTTTGGTTGGAATGAAGAATGTCCTTAATCCACCTATATTTCGAAAAAGTGAAGAATAATCAAATTTGTGGAAACAAAAGCAGTTGCAACCTACTTCCATAGCTTCAGAAGATCCCCTTCAACTTATGCTTAGCATCTCAAGAAGTTCTTCAAAAAGCTCAGCAAAGTGGGAGATCAAAGTGTCTCAAATGTGGCAGTTCAAGAATGTTCTACTGCTATACATGTTACGTCCCAGTTGAAAATGTACCTATTGAACAGATTCCACTTGTGAAGGTTGGTAAGAAATTTAATTGTTTGAAAGTAGGAAAATAGATTTTAAAATATCTCATGTATGCCTCTTCTAGTTGATAAAGTTGATAAATAATATCATTATGAAAATGAATTGTATTAATGGAAAATGTAATCCTACAGATTGCTAAATCTATTGTTTTCTCTATGGAAAAACAATTGGTCTGAAATGAATGGTGGTGTTTAATGAAACAATTACTTTTAAATTAATGATTATAGTTTATTTATAACATAGAAAGAGTATGGTATAAACATGAATACTAAAGAAAAAAGCTTATAGACTACCTGAAGGAGCTTTTAAAAACTGCTTCAGGTCCTTTGACCACTCCTTGAGAAAACACTATCCTATAAAACTAGGATTGCTTTTTGCTTAGGCTTTGTGACTTAGTATTATCCTATATGTGGAGACAGAACAGATTTCAGTGACCAAAACAAAAATAAAATAACATTTAAAAACTAAGAATGCACTGTGATGCAAATACAGTGTTTGTAAGTCAGATTTAAATTTTTTTTTTAACTTGGAAAAGTAATGTATTATTTTCTTTTCTGAATTTAATTTTTTATTGTATACAAAGGAATGCATAAACATTCCATGGTAAAAGATTCACAGTATAATGTCAAATGAAAAAGGCCAATCATGTATATGAAATA